CAGGAGGCGGGCGGCCTGGGCATCAGCATCAAGGGCGGCCGCGAGAACCGGATGCCGATCCTCATCTCCAAGATCTTCCCGGGGCTGGCCGCCGACCAGAGCCGGGCGCTGCGGCTGGGCGACGCCATCCTGTCGGTGAACGGCACCGACCTGCGCCAGGCCACCCACGACCAGGCCGTGCAGGCGCTGAAGCGCGCGGGCAAGGAGGTGCTGCTGGAAGGTGAGCTGGGCCGGCGGGCGGGCCGCGGCGGCCTGGGCGCGTCGCCGCTCACTTTGTTACTGCCCTCCCGGCCCCTGTGCGGGGCGAGCCGGTTCCCTGTCCTTTTCCCCCAAGCCGGGTTTTCTGGGGCTTGAATGTGGAAAAACTGATGCTCCTTGCAGGAAAAGTTGGGCAGACGCCGAAGTGTGGCTTGCAGCCCCGAGAGAAGGCTCGGCTGAGGTTTAGCAAAAAAGCAGCCGCGTTTGAAGCCCCCCCCCCACGCGGCACGATAAGCTGACACTAAGAACTAGAGGGAGACCGGACGGCTCGAGGTCTGGAGGTCTCCGTTTGCCTCTGAGAAGTGCCGGGTTGGCGCTTTCTTCGCTCACCTCTGGCTCCCCGGGGCGGGCGGGTCCATTAAAAAAAAAAAAAAAAAAAAAGTCCATCCATAGCGATGCCAGCGGTATGCTTGGGCAAACCACCAAAGCGCTGGTTAATTTATGGGAATTTAACCCATCATTGGCTCTCAACAATAACCAAAGAAGATCATAGCACTCCATTGAAGTCAGAAAGCTGAAACAGCAAGTTTGTGTGGTTAATGAGCCTTGTTTAACAGTGGAGGCTCACGTGTTTGAACATTTACTGCCAACTCGAGTTTTGCCCCTTTTGCAGGAGTCTGGTGCCAGCTTCCTACCACTCACAGGCGTGCTGCTTCAAGAGCATTAGGCTTGTTATAAGAAACTTGAAATGCTAACTCACAAGATAGTTTTATGAATAGCTAGGATTATTCTTGACCTTAAGCTGGTATTTAATCTGTGAATTGGATCTTTTACGATGATTTTTATGGAACAAGAATAAGTCCTCTAAGGACACATGCATGTTGGAGGTGATAGAGTCTTGCAGATTGTAAATGAAAACTCAGTGGCTTTCTTCAGAAATTTTGGAGCGGTCAGCTTTCTTTCACTGGTGATCGGTGCTAGCTGTGTAAAAGGCAATATAAAAGAAGATGCTTGTTCTTACTTGGTCTTTAGTTGGGGAAATGATAGAAAAATGCAAAACAACTTATAGGGAGGAAAAACATCAAGGTGGTGATTATGTAGTGCAAACTACATCTAAGGGCCAAGGGAATGCAGAGTGAGGAGGGACGTAGTGTAAATGGGATTCGCCAGGGAGGACTTTTTCAAGGAACTGAATCCTGAACATAGGAAGTGATGGACATAGGCAAACAGAGATAAGTCAGTAGGATATTCCTAGCAGAAGAATAGGAGGTAAGGACACCAAATTGGGGGTGAGGAGGGACCAGCCATCAAACAGGCCAGAAAGCTAACGTGGCAGAATGATTTTCACTTTTTTATAAATCTGCTTGTGAATATTTGGAAAAATATGTTTGCCAGAAATGATTTAATGTGCTCCAGTTGTGAAATTCCAGTGTCCCACTTTTATAATATCCTATTTGTAAGCCTTATTTATGTCCTGCTCATAGGTGGGACTAGACACTGCTCAGAAATTAGTGTTAATAGAAGGAGTAAAATTATAGATTGTGGCTTGAGTGTGCATGTAAAAAAATTGTTACCCCAAAAGTGTACCTTGAAATTAGTCTAGCTGAGCATTTGGTTATAAATTCTTCGAGCTAGGATATTGAATTTAATACTATTTATGTAGTACTCAGTGGTGATGGACAATTAAGCCCTTTACACCATATTTTTAAAGACCAGATTTTGTGTAGACATCGTTTGAATCTAGTACAGTATTCATACCAGTAAAATGAAAAACCTCTAGTAAATGCTTCCCAGACCACATGTGCTTTCAGAAAGAGGGTTTACAGATGGCAGCAGAATAACATATTAATTGAATGCCTTTTAACCTAACACACAGGTTCTCTTTTATTTTCCCATTTTGTATAAGACAAGCAGTTTTTGTCCTTTAAGTGTCGGGAAGTCAATGTGGTAGATTTGTGACATTGCATTTTCAAGCCACGGAGTATAAAAATAAAATTGCTCAAAATATGCAGAATTGTTGAAAACAGTGATTTAATTGAGCCAAACATTGTTTAAAATTTAGAACTGGTGTCTCATCAGGTTTGGCCACTTTTTAAAAAATTTTTTTGAGTTGGAGTCTCACTCTGTCGCCCAGACTGGAGTGCAGTGGCTGTCCCGGCCACAGCAGCCTCGACCTGCCGGGCTCTGGTGATCCTTCCACCTCAGCCTTCCAAGTAGCTGGAACTACAGGCGCGCACTACCACGCCCGGCTAATTTTTGATTTATTGTAGAGATGAGGTCTCACCAAGTTGCCCAGGCGGGTCTTGAACCCACAGGCTCAGGCAATTCACTCACCTCAGCCTCCCAAAGGCACGGGATTACAGGCTGAGCCACCGAGCCCGGCTAGGTTTGGCCACTTTTAAAAGACAGATTTTATGCTTAGTCCTAAAAAGTTTTCAAGCTGTATTGTGTTGTCCTTCATTAGGTGTCTAACAACTTGAAAAGCTGCCTTAACATAGCACAGTGATGCTTTTTTGTGGTGTGGGTAGGGAATTTCAGGCATGCTCTTGTCACCCCCATGGCCTGAGAAAGCTTTTAGTCTCTGGTTGCCTGTGGTTAGGGAATTGAGCTAAAGTGTTCCTTTTTATCACAGGAATTTGTAGGGATTTTTCATTCATTAGTCAGACATTTATTCAACTCTTATCATGTGCCTGAGGCACTTGGAGATCTGGAAGATACCCAATTCCTGCCCTCAGGAAGTTTAGAGTTGTGATAAAAGTGAAAGAACCTGAAGTAAATAAGTACAGCAAGGGCTAAAAGTGCTGTTGTAATAGAAGTCTGGAGAGGGCACAATACAAAGGAGGGCGAGGTCTGTATAGATTCCTAATGGGAATCAGAGGTTGGGATGCCTAGGAAGGTGTTATGGAGAGGTTGAAGTTTGAATTGAGCTTTCCTTTAAGAGGCAGCTGCCACCAGTAAAGACACAGGAGTGCAAGATATTAAGATACTATTCTGTCCAGTAAGGACAAAGAGTACAAGCAAGGACTTTGTGATCCGATGTGGGTTTGTAACCCCTAGGCTAGTTACATAATCTTGCTAAACCTTTCCTCATCTGTGAAACCAACATGGAAATAACACCTCCTTCTAAGTGTTGTTAATTCAGTTTGTGTGTTGGGAACTTTTTTAGGGACTGGGAATGGAGCAGAACAACAGAAGTCTTAATAAGGAAGGTAGGACTGGGTCATGAAAGTATGCCATGAGTTAACAAAGACACTCTCAGAATCCCTAAGGATGACAGGTTGTTAAAATAAAATCCAAGGTTCCATTTTATCTGAAAAGAAATACATGGTAAGAATTGCTTTAGGTGAACAGGTTAAGAATGGGCTTGGGCTGGTCTGAGTGCAGTGGTGTTTACAACTAATTGATCAGTGGGGTTTCAGATTTCTTTGTTCCTTTTCCACTCTTATTACTTCACTTGATTAGCTTTACAAAAAAAAAGAATGAGTTTGTATTTCTTTGGTGCCAACAACGTTTTCTGATCTTGTTTTCCAATTTTCTACCATTTCTTGCACAGGCTGACTTTTTCTTTTCTTTTCTTTTCTTTTTTTTGAGTCAGAGTCTCACTTTGTCACCCAGGCTGGAGTGAAATGGCACTCTCACCGCCACCCAAGCATCGACCTGGTGGGCTCAGATAATCTTTCCACCGCAGGCTTCCAAGTAGACAGAACTATAGGCACCTGCTACCATGCCCTGCTAATTTTTTTTTTATATATTGTAGAGATGAGGTCTCACCAAGTTGCCCAGGCTGGTCTCGAACCCCTGGGCTCAGGTATTCTCTCGCCTTGGCCTCCCAAAGTGCTGGGATTACAGGTTTGAGCCACTGTGCCCAACCAGGCTGACTTTTTTATCCTTGAATTTTGCATTTATTTTCCTCTCTGATTTTTCCTCTTCCTTCCCTCTTATTACTCAGAACCTTAAAACTTGCCAGTAAGTGTGTGTTTGTAGTTTTGATTAGTGACTTAGCATTGACATTAAGGCATCCAGATTAGATAGCCTTTGTATTAATAATGCAGATTGTAAACATAGAGGGTAATTCTACTCATCTATCAGATGTATGCTGAATGTACTGTGTCCTTTGTTCTAGAAATATGGTCTATCCAGAAAGCTTCTAGAATTTTTTTTTAAGGCTATGAAATTGATAAAATGATTATGAATTAGACCACACGTTGAAAAGTGTTTCATTTTAGGGCTTGCTTTGGGGAAGAAAAAGAAGTTTAAAAGAAAGGGGAAAAAAATAAGTGTTCCAGAGGAGGATAGTGTCCAGCTTAAGGTTTGATATTTAAGAAAAGATAAATATTTTGGAAACAATTCTCACTGGAATATTGTAGAAAACTCATCTTTTATTGACTAAATATGATGATAAAATATTTTTACCGATTTTTTTTTTTTTGAGTCAGAGTCTCATTCTGTCACCCAGACTGGAGTGCAGTGGCCGCT